GGGAGCCCGAGCAAGAAGAAAGCGGCTTTTGTCTGGGGGCTCCGAACCTCGCTGGGGACCGGGGGGAAATTTGCTGCTTTCTGATGCTAATGAGATGTTAAAAATAAGCTCTGCGCAGCGCGCAGCCATGTTGGGGCTTTTCCAGGGCGGCTCGGAGGCGGCCGGACAAAGGGGCTTTTATGGGGCTGGGGGGGGGGCACCAAGGGGGTGCCCCATCCCTGCCCTGGGCACGTGGCTCCCCACAGCCCCTGAAGCACCCTCCCTGTCGAGGGCAATTCCTGGGGTACAGTCATCCCTGCCCACAGCAGCACAACCCTCCTTGGGACTGGGTGAACCCCCAAACCCCGCCCCGCTCCCCTTTTCTACCAGGAACATCCTCCCCGCAGGGTTTATGGGCTGCAGGCAGGCGATGGAGGGGGGCCCTTGGCATCTCAGCTCCAGCCCCCGGGGCTCAGCCCAGCCAAGAAAAAAAGAAAAAAAATTGATGAGGAAGCCCCAGATGTCGGATTCTGCCGTCTGGCCCCCCATCAATGGGGTCTTTGTCCCCGCACAGAGCCCCGGCCTTGGGGACTGTGCCCACGGCTGGGACAGAGAGGGGGACAAACCCCTGCACCAAGACCAGGGCACCAGCTGCACCCCAACACCCCCTCGCTGCCCCCCCAACCAGTGATGGAGGAGGAAGGGAGGGGGGGATACAGGCTCCCCAGGGCTATGAGCCCCCCCCGAACACACAGCAGCTGAGAGGGGGGGGCCACATGCTGCCCGCCTCAGCCCCATTCTGTCGTTCCGCAGCCTTTGATCTGCCAAACTCGGGGGCGTTCAAAGCGCCTCGGCGCAGGGCAGAGGCGGGGGAAGCAGCACACATGGCTCCTGCAGCTGGGGAAGGGGCTGGGGAGGGGGACAGGGTGAAGTTGGGGGGCAGGAGGTGGACCCAGGCATCTCCATCCCTTGGGATCCCATCCCACCCCACAGGGATGCTGCAAGTTGGGGGGCAGAATAGACCCCGGGGCGGGGTGGGAAGTCAGCAGCTTGGGACTCAAGACAACACAAAGCACATAAAACAATTTCCAATTATTTTATTTCAAACCCCCGCTCTCTTCCCTTTCCCACCCTCCCAAACAAAACAAAAAAAGAAACAAAACCAAAAAACCATCAGTCAAAACGACGATAGAAATGAGTTACAAACACAGAAGTCAGCTCTCCCTCACTGACAACTTAACAAAAAAAAAAAAAAAAAAAAAAAAAAAAGAAAAACCAAACAAAAAATCTGGGAACTTCACACCAGCTTCCCCAACAGGACCTGCAGCAGTTACTAATGTCTCCACACGAGAGGCCAAACATGCCTATTAATACAATATATACAGACAAACCCACAGGTACAGCCAGGCTCCCCCTCCCCACTCCCAAAAATAACCAAACACACCCAAAAGTGCATTTGTTGTGTTTATATCAAAAACATTTTCTTTTTTTTTTTTTCTTCTGAAAGATTGGCCTGCAAGTCTGTTTTTACCATTTAGTAACTTTTTAATATAGTTTATGAAAATAAATTAATCAGCAACTATTTTAATAAATTAAGCACACACCAAAAAAAAAAAGATAAAATTAAGCAAAGCTGCATTTCTACCAAAGGGTGGTTCAACAGTCCTGGCGATGAGCAGCATGAGGTCCTGCACTCGGAGCTGCCAGTATCTGCTCATTCCTTCTCTAAAGGCAAGTCCAGATCCAGTGTTACTCGCTGCCCACCAGCGATTTTCAGAGTAAAGCCCTGGCTGGGGTGGGGAGCACCCCGAGGGGCACTGGGAGCTCACCCCGGGAGGCCGCTGCGTTTCTGGGCACTGGTTGTGCTTTTCAGCTGGAGGCACGGTCAGAGGCAGCACCACTGGGACCCCCTTAATCCCAGCGGGATGTCTGGGACTGGGGGTCCCGCCTGCCCTGTCTCACCTGGAAGACTGTGGATGAGGAGCGAGGGGCCGGGGAGGGGAGCGCTATGGGGGCTGCTTGGAGCACGCCGATAAATCCCTCCATCCCTGAAAGCCGAAGGGGCTTAGGCGGGCGTCTGGGTCCCCGACGAGCCCTCCAACAGGCAGGCTCAGACCTGATGGTCAATTTTAAGGGTAAAATCATCCCAAGAGCATATCTTAACTGTGAAGAACAAAGGACAACAGCCAGTTCCCTTCCTACTAGAAGCAGGAAGATCCTTTCTTTTTGCAAACCCTGCTTTCCAGCAGTTTCCTCCCCAAAAAGCTCCCAGACAAGACTTCAGCACCAGCCATCACCCACAGCAGAGCCTGCCCAGCTGGGGCACAGCCCTGCACATCTCCCTGCACCCACACGCTCCTTCAGGCACATGCACGATAACACAGGTCCCTATTAAAAACACGTTTAGGGTTTAAAAATTGGCCAGATAACGTAAGCGTCACATGCCTGGTGCTTTCAAAACCACCAATTCCCTCTCGCATGAGCAGCTCAGGTGGTTCCCACCCTGCCCGCAGTAGGTCCCACCCAAACTAAGCTAAGGATGAATTTTTTCCCCTTCTTTTGGCCCCAAGGACGTCAATGCTGAACTGAAAACTTCCATGTGAGAACACTGTCCTGGCTTATCTGAATTTCACGCTGCAGGAGCGAGCCAGGTCATTCCCTACCTTGAAACAGGCTGCAGGGAGAGGAGCGGGGGCCCTGCACAGAGCAGCCGGCTCGAGCAAACCTGGGATCTTGCCAACCTGATAAGCAGGTAAAACACACCCCTCCTAAAGGCTGCACTCATCCAGCTGAAAAAAGCACCATCTCCAGCTGAAAAAAAAAAGAGCTTTTCCATGGATACCTTCTGCGCTTTGGTAGTTTTTATGATCCATTTCATTGTTCATCTGCCTGTGGTCCCTGACAGAGGGAGGAGGACGGCAACAACCTCTGCAGAACTCAAGGTTGGACAAAGGAGGCTATAAAAATTTTTTCCAAATCAGCAGGATGAGAGCACCCTCCAGAACCAGCCTACAAAACCATTCCAGGCAGGATACAAACATTAGGTGTTCCTCCCCAAACAGGGATGGGGATTCACTGGCAAGACAGGACTGAGCCACCTCTTTGAGATCTCACCTGTGTCCACAAAGACCATCACCCCCTCAGCAGAGACCACTCTGCTTGCTCCACTCACATCCAGCCTTGAAACAAAAATCTCTGGACCTTTTCCCACTTCCAAACAGCAGATCAAGTCCCTCCCTCTCCTTACACCTAGATGTGAAGGAACTCTAGGAACAGCTTTATTTTAAATGGATTTCAAGAGAAGGCTGTTAACTACAGTTAACCTTGGGATCTTATCCAGCACTATTAGCCACAGGCAGCAGGCTGGCCCTGACCACGCTCCAGCTCCCCTGCCTGTCTTGGAGCAAGGAGAGGTGGAGCAGGGCCCTGGGAAGGGTGAAGAGCATCTGCCACCTTCATGGCAGAGCTGACCCCACCGCTCCTGCGGGTGCAGATTGATGGGGGGGGGTGTCTTGTGCAGCTACAGCTGACACCAAGCACGTCAGCATGACAGGCTGGTGTCCCACCATCCCCTATCTAACACCCCAGAGCACATCTCCATCATTTCAGCTGCTGCAGACAGACCCCAAGCCTTGCTGCTGGCTTCAATTTGGGGAGGGCTGCCCCTGCTGTGCACAGGGTTCAAATAACACCAGAAGCACTGGCAGGCTGTTGGGAGAAGTCCTCCCAAGGACAGTGACAGCCAACCAAATACATGTAAATTCAAGTATTGCCCCTAAAGTCTGGCTGCTTCTCTAACAGCTCCGAAAGCCACAGAGCCACCCCATCCACCCTTGTGGGGAGCTCTGGGGGTACGCAGAGAGATCCCCGGAGGGGGACGCAGGGAGCTGAGCAGTGCAGGACGGCTCTCCCGACCTGATGTGGAGCAGGGTTGTGCGTTTTCACCCCAGGCAAGCCCAGTGTCGGCAGGATGGGCTCTGCACCAATTCCCAGTGCCCAGCCAGCACCAGTTTTCCCTGGTGTGCTCTCCAGATCGGCTGCTTTCCCTTCCCAAACCCTGCCTGCGCCTCTCCCTCCCAGAACAGGGAAGGAAGAAGTGAAAATGCTGTCACTACCATCACACTAGGGAGAGGACCGGCTTCTCCCTGGCTTCAGCAAGGGAAGACTCACAGCTCCCCCATTTCACACGTCCTGCAGGCCATCACCTATTCACATGCATCCTTGCCTCCGGGGTCTCTTTTTGGAGAGAAGCTTGACAGGAGACACATGCACCAGGCACACTGTTCTTCGCTGGCATGGAGTTGGACACTTCAGGCATCAGACCAGGCTTGGCTCTTGGGAAGGTTTTCCTTTCCAGCATACGGATAAGTTGGAAGATTCAAATCTTCAGCACGTGGACAACCGAGATGCAGCAGGGCCAGGTGCGTGGATATTGGAGTTTCACCTGCACAAGTACAGATGCTTTTTCCTCCCCCCAACATTCGCCCAGCATGCTGTGCGTTTTAGTCGAAGCAGTTGCATTTATTTGCAGGCTCTGCTGATAACTTGGTGTGAGCTGTAGGTCTACAGCCAAGGGGAGGGAACGCAGCGGCGGCTGTGGAGGGATGAACGTGGGTCCCCGCACAGAGGGGACACAGTAGCTGTAGACTACAGTAGCTCCAATTTCACCAAGGGTCAGGATATGCTGTTCAGCACGTCTCGGGGCAGCTCCTCCTTCCTGATAACCACTGCCCCGACCATGCAACACAAAGTCAGTAGTGAGTAGTGTCTGATGAGGTATTTCTACAGATTTTGAAGCTTAGTTATTAGTTTCATCTGGAAGCCAAATCCTTTTTAAAAAACATACTTTTTCTCCAAGACCAAAACTGAGGCCAGAGGTGATGGTGAAGAAAGGGAGGGCATGATTTCTTAGCACCCTTCATAGCAACACTTGGCAGAGGCAGACAATCAGAATTTTTCCAGGCTGCTTTAAGATCTGCACGACCGTATCTAATTCAAGGACATAGATCATTCTGCAGGGCAAGACCAAAGTCTTAGCAGCTCCTGAGTGACTGCAGGCAGCTCACGGGGCACCGACCTCAGATCTGCAGACCCGGGCCACAGACAACATTACGTTTTCAGACCACACTGTTGCAGGATGGAGCATTTCCTTCACTCGGGTTGAGAGCACAGGAACACTTGCTCATTTACATACAGGAGGAAAGATGCTTCTCCAGACTTCTCAGCATCACTTCAGGCAAACTTTAAACTTCACCATGAAATGCAAACTCTTTGCAGTTGCTGCAGTGGATGAAACAGCAGACCAGCATTTGAAAAGGTGGGGGGTGGGGTATTTCAGCCAGTGCCAAGTCCAGAAACACAGCAAGAGCGACCATCTCTCTTGGCTTTACTGTTTCTGAACTGCTGTAGTTCCGTGGACATCCCAGGGAGAGGATGAAGCAGCAAGCAAGCAAGCTCGCAGAGATCAGATGCCATTCCAGGAGAACCCTCAGTTATCTGCTCCTTGCTCTGAGTCTCCCCAGAGATGCCTCTTAATGCCCCAGCAACTCCTAATCAAGATCCTTCACAGATCAACAGAAAGCCACTTCATTCACAGCTTCTGGAGACAACCAGAGAAAGGCTAAAAGTGCACATCCCACAACTCTGCAAGACTGAGATCCCTGTAGCAACTACCTTTGGTCCATGGACTGCTGCAACAGTTACAGCAACAGCTTTGCCACGTCCCTTCCACTTATCACAGGGGTTCAGCAAAATCTTCCAGTGTTTGCTAAGGGAACAATGCCACCTCGGAGGAGCAGTCCTTGTTTCCCCAGTGCAGCAGCAACCATTCCCTTTGGCAGAAGGCTCCATGACATCCAAATGGCTCACATGCTCTTCCTTCCTTGGGCCCAACTTAAAAGCATATAGGACCACCCTGCAAATCCAGTTGCAAAGCTCAGCTGCCCAAGACTATGTTTGGCCCTCTTCTCCCAAATCCTAGAAAGCAGGGGAGCTGTGCAGCTGCCCGCTGTTCAGAGCTCCATGCTTCCCAGAGGTTATTCCACACAGCTGCACATCATTCTGGCTCAGTCTGCCTCCAAGCAGCTCTGCGGCTGCATCCCCTCTCAGTGAGGACCAAAGAACAGTCTTGCCATAATGCCTGGAGCAGATGATCTTCTTAGAAAGTCCCCTTCTCTCTCCCCACCTTGAAGTTTCCAAGGGAGGATAAAAAAATTCAGCTGATCATAAGACTGTATTTCTCATGCTGAAAAAAAAAAAAAAAAAAGGACGACATCAAAAATAAAACTTTCAAAAATTTGTAAATAGTGCCATGACATTCTTTGTTCTTCAAGGAGTCCATGAGCTGGGCTCAGCTGTCTCCGAGACCCCTCTCCCTCAAGGCAGGAGCTGAGGCTCTTGTTCCCGTTCTGCTGTGCTTCTTAGGAGTCTTGAACCCTCTTCTCTGTACAAAAGAGCTTGAGAGCAGAAGTGGCACCGCAGAAGCAGGCTTCACCGTCACGTGCCTCCTTCCCACCACAGCCTGACTTGGGCTACAGGATGGCAACAATCAAATTCCTGGTGGGGAAGAGAGAGGGGAGAGGGATCAAACAGCCCACTTGATGTGGCAGGATCTGCCCCAGACGGCAGCTGGTTTGGCACGAGAGCGAGCACAGGTTTGTGTAGGCACAAATATGCCCAAGAAAGTAGCAGAAGCCTTGTTCCCCTCCCCAAGGAAAGTTGGACAATGGTAAAAGACCATGGAGTGAATAGCCATGACTTCTTCGGGAGGGTTTTGTGTTTTCTTTGCAATCAGAGGGAACAGAGTGATTTACGTTTGACCCCATGGGCCAGGGCATGGACCAGCGGCACACACGTACCATCAGTGACAGCAACAAGATGGGTGAGGCAGCCTCGCTACGTGGAGGATTCGGTCTCCTGCTTCTGTTTGGAGATGAGCTGAGCTTCCTTCAGCGACAGATACACCTCCTCTTGCGGGTCGTAGTAGTAGAACTTGCGGATGTAGGAGATCAGGGGCCTGGGGAAGGAATGGGCAGAAGCTTTAACCCTGAGCCACAAGCACACCAGCCTCCACAAAGGATAACCAGAACCTCTTCCCCAGCCCACCCAGGACTGTCACCTCCAGCAGAAACAGCAGCCGGTACCCCAAGGCTGTGGCATCGGCAGATAACGCCTCACTCCTGAGCTTGTCAGCACTCCCGCACGCATCCCTACACACCACGGGACATTTATCTTGCTGTCCCAAGGCTGAAGAATTCAACTATTCCCTCCCAGAGCCCTTGCTGCAGATACAGACACTTTCTCACTGCCTGCTGTGGCAAGGGTCAGGGAGGAAACCAGAGAGACTCATCCCCAGGCCAGTCCTCGAGACTTACTTGGGCAGTGGGAGGTCGGGGATGTGATCTATTCGGACCAACTGCCTGATCCGAAAGCGGCAAAGGTGCTGAAGGGATTTGACATTGCTGAACCTGGAGACTGGATACAGGAGCTGGACAGGCGTTGGAGGAAGACCTTTGGGAAAAAGCAATATTGGAGACAAGTGTTAGATTAGAAAGGAGCCACTACTGATTCAGAAAGTAAAAGCTGGCTCTTGGGAACAGGAGCTCTCTGCAAGGCTGTGTTCGACAGCACATCTTCCCAGGAGCCCGCTGCTTTGGAGTCGCTTGGGACTGGGAGCCAAACCTTCCGGGGCAATACCCCTTTGGCTGCAAAATATCTCCAGCCTTCCTCACAAGGCAACAACAGTTCTGATGTCATGGAGTGACTGTGGAAAAGCAGATCCTGGGACATTGCAAGCTCCTAACCACCCCCCCTCTCCCAGGACTAGTAGATGAAGCATCACTTTATACTGTGAAGCAACAGGCTTTTGAAAGGGTGCAGAAGAAAGCCAAAGGAGAAGGCAGGCAGCATGACCAGCGCGTAGGCTTTGCTCTGCACAACCCTTTGGGTAGTTCTAGCGAGGCATTAAAAAGCTGGGGGATTTGGTCAGCTCAAGCTGTGCCAGAGTTGCTCATTCTTGGGGTCACGAGGCTGGGCACAAAGGCAGAGGCAGCAGCAGCTTCGCTCGAGCCAGCTCCCCACGCAGGGAGCAACCTCGCAGGGCTGAAAGTGAGTTGCATCCAGCTGTCGTTTCCCCACCACCACCCAACCTCCTCCTCCCCCAAAGTTAAGAGCAACAATCGAGCCCACAGATCCAAGAGGTCGGCAGGAGCACTAGGAAGGATCTTTGGGAGCTGGGTTCATTCACAGCACAAGGTTTTATCTGTCTTTACAGAAGGATTCAAAGCTAGTTACACTCTAACCCCCTCCTGCTGGCTTGTCTCTGAGGGCAATGGAGTGAAAGGAGAAAAGGGAAAGCTCTTCACACTAAGATGGGCTCAAAACTGCTCCAGGCAGCTCAGGAAGCTGTGAGCCAGCTTTTGAGAAACCAAAGAACAGCAATCAATTGAAGGCTGGATTCTCCCCCCCACCCTTATTCTCCTACCAGAAAGGAATTAGCCTCTGGGAGCTCAGCCAGCGACTACAGGGACGCAGCACGAGCTCTGCACACTGTGCTAGCCACATGCCTCACTGCCAGGAGCCAGATGCAAGCTGGAAACAGCCCCCTCCTCTGAGCAGCAGTTAACATTTCAGCAGGAGAAGAGCACCAACGAGCACACTGGGGAGATGCAGATCCTAAATGTTCTCCTGCTAAAGATCAGGCATCAGTGTGAGACTTTGTTTTTCAAGGATCAAGGCACAGCGACTCTAAGAAGCGCCCAGGTCCAATGCTGCACCCAGATGCAGAGGTGCAGGACCCAGAGCCAGCAGCACAGCGGGGACCAGGCAGCAAGGGACTCCTCAGCAGGTGCACAGGGCTGTTGGGGGGGGGGGATATTTTCTTTTTCAATGATATTTTTCTAGAGTAAGTCCTTTCTAAGGTATTTGCCTGGAGTCCTAAGCCCTCAAAGCCCTGTTCTCAAGGGGAAGAGATCTCAGGATCAGGAAGGTAAAGTATGTTTAAGTTGAAAGGATTTTTTGAAGGTAGGGTACATTGCAAAACCAGCTTTACATCCCTCTCCTCCCCAAAGCACAGCCACATTATAAATCAGCTTTCCAGTTATTGGCAGTGTCTGCAGCAGAGGGCAACACTGAACAGATCTGGGCTGTGACTCCAGCGCTGCTAGGAACCCTGAAGAGGGAACATCCCATCCCTCCTCCCCTCCAGCCTCTTCTAGACCAGAAACTCTTTGGGCTGAATCCTCTCCATGCTGCAGTGTCACAGAGGTCGCTGTCACCATCAGGGCCTGCAGGCATGATGGCAATATGGATAGGGAGCAAGTTTACTACAATTTCACTTGCAGATTTACCACAGCAATCCTCACACTCTTCTCAGCCCTGCCCCTCTACTTCACTGCCGTCACCCATCTCACCATGGCAGCATTCCCATTCCTGCTCTGTTTTGTTCAAAAGCATCACCACTCACCTGCCCTCCAAATTCCAGCCCCCACTGTTGCTCCCTCACAAGGGGCATATTTGCCTATTTGGCAGACTCTTCCCTTCCTTTCACGTTGGATTTTTTGGCTAGCTTTCTCATACACCAGGACAGATGAGCAAAAACCAGAAAAAAATAGATACAGAAGATAATGGTCCAGTGGCCTGCCCAGATTTAGCAGGAGGGAGATGTGAGCCCATTTAAGCAACCAGAGTTTGATGGATGGGGAAACAAGCACTCTGCAATCCCAACAGCATGCAATCAAACATGCTTCAACAAAGCTGCACTAACACTCCCTCCTCATTTGCAAGCACCTGCCTGCTGATGGGTTCTGGCATCACAGGCCCCCCCAGGGACTCTGAATCTACAGTATCTATCCCTCGAGGCTCACTTTGAGCTCACACTTGGAAACGCTCCCACACACTCAGCTTAATGTCTCTCCCCCTGACAGCCCCAGGTGGGTCTCAGCTAAAGAAGAACTGAGAAACTACAAAGCATGGAGTGGTTCCTAAGAACAGCAGTACTGAGACTGGGGGAGGGAAGAAAGCAGGGTTTTAGTAGCCAAATAATTGCTTGTTGAGGGAGTAGCTTTCCAGTCTCCAGCTCCATTTGTCATAGTGTGAGATGGTATCATGTTTCCATGCTCCTGGGAAGAAAGGTTTGGGAAGTCTCCTTACCACCACAAGTAAGTGGTGCTGCTGCTGAGAGAGATCTCCGCAGAATCCTTCTGAGAAGTCAGTGGGCAAGGATGCAGACCAGGGCACTGAGCACAGCAGACCAAAGCCACATTAAACTGGCTATCTGGGACAGACCAGCAGCTAATCACAGAGCAAAACATCCCCCAGACTCAGAGTGGGAGACTCACCTGGAACCCTGGATCGGAGAAAGTAGAGGAACTTCCCGTTTTTGGAGTGCATGATTGCTCTCTTTATGAACTCCACCACAGACTGGCAGCGGTCTTCAAACTTGGGATGGCACCACAGGCTGAAGGTCCCTTCCAACAGAACAGAAAAGGTTTCACATTATAGCAGCACTGGCAGCAAGAAGAGACATTTAGTCATGAGTCTGATGTTCTCAAAGACCAGGTGAATGCCCCAGGCTGACTACTTCTCATAGAGTTGGGATGAGGCAGGGCACTAAAAGGAAACACCAGTGGCACCAGCTTGCAAGGATGCTGTTCCACTGGAACCAGTGCTTTCCAAGAGCTGAGGATACACAGAAAGACATGACAATGTGACCACTGTAACCCAAGCATGGCCACAAGTCATGCTTGCCTGAACTTGTAAACAGCCTGCAATGACTGCTGGGTCTAAACTTAAACTATCAAAACATTGTTTAACAGAGCATTAGCAGATGCCTCTGCTCCTCTGCAGTATCCCATCAACAGCACTCCCAAAGAAAGCTAGCACATCAGAGCAGTTAAGTCCACACATAGAGGTATGTAAAAACAGTGATCCAGGTGCTGAAGTCCTCTTCTGCAAGCCCTATGGCTGTCAATGATCATTTATTTCAAAGCAGGCATGGGAGCAGCTTCATGTTCTTGCCAGCTGTTTGAAACACCTTAATTCAAGTTGCTGTCAAGCTCGAACCACGGTCAAGATACACTGACATAGTCCTCCCTGTAGTGCCACCGGGACACTACACATGCCTTGAGCTTGAGTGGCAAACAATGAAACCGGAGATGGGCAACACAGGGAAAGCAGGCCCTCTAACCTGTTTACCGATCTCTAAGTAGGTTAAGTTTAAGCCTCAAGTCAGACCAGTCTCACAATCTCTTTGTGCTGCAACCAGACAGCCCCTCCTTGCACCAAAATGCAGCCATCTGTCCCCCCCTTACCTGCCAAAACACTGCCTACATCCCCCTCCATCCCCCCTGTATCTCCCTTTCTACCTGCAGATTTCTCAGTGCTCTGGCAAGAGCCAACACAGAGTAGAGCTTCACCAGGAAGAGGAAAATGGGAAAACAAGGGCTGTTTAGGACAGAGCCCATGAGGAGCCAGACTCACGCCTGCAGTGGGACAGATTCCAGCAAGAGGTGTGGGACACCACTCATCTGTACAAGCACTGTAACCCAAAGCTAGAAAGGCAGCAGAATGACTTTGAAAACACCCTGCATCCATGTAAAGAACTTGTGCTAAGGAGAAGGGATAGCCAAATCAGTGGTACCCAATACATATTTCAGGCCAGAGAGTTTTTGGAGGAGCAGCTACCCCGGCAGCATCACAGGCTCCGCAGCACCAACCTGTTACAGAAAAACTAGAGGAAGCAGCTCTGTAGGATCTCCAGCACTCACAGCTTTCTGTAGGTTGGACAGCAACCAGCCATACAGGGGCTATATACAGCCCACAAAATTTAAACCACACCTCCTCTCCCCACAGCTAGTTCTGGTAGGCTTTACTGGGAAAAGACACCTCTCACCCCTGCCACAGGCCAGTTTGGGAGCAGTGAACTGGGTTAGCACCTGCTAAACATCCAGGATCAGCAAGTACAAAAATAAGTAATTCTTCTTGGGAATCTCAGATCTGAATGAGCCCTTAAAACTGGCCAGTAGATAGATGCAAAGGACAAAGCACAAATACCAGCCTCCTCAGCTCACCTAAAAAAAGATAAAGAAATTCTGGTTTCTTCCTCTCATCTACCTGAAACCTGAAGGTCAAGCATTTATCTCTTTACCATTCCCTCAGCCCCACCATTTGTCATCTTCATTGGTTTATCAAACTGCTCAGGTCTGCAGTTTTCCACGCTGCCGCAGCACATTCAGCACAAGGCAGCCAGTCCTGGGGGGAGCACAGGGCTGCCAACACAGACCAAAGTGCTGCACCCAAAAATGAAGTCCTTGATGCTGTGCCACGCCTGGGAGCGCTGCTGTAGGGAAGGTGGCAGCACCAACCTTCATCTGTGCAGCGAGAACGACAGCTTGAGGAAAGGGAAGGACACCTGGCTAAGGAAGCTCTGAGAATGGACATATCCCGGCCCCAAAATAAGAAACCAGACCAGCAGCAAGAGAAGTTTGCTCCAAAGTTCAATTATGGAGAAGTATCCACCGTACAGGCAGCCTCACATCTCCTCCAGCTGCAAGAGCTTCTTGTAATTTCTATAACAACAGGGTTATGAAAATCCTTCCGTCTTATGCAATGGTCAGGGACAGGGGAACTGGCTCTAGATGGGCTAGAATTAACGCTGGGGCATCTTTCCATCAGAGGGGCTCAAGACTAGAAGTGCTGCCAGATTTCACTAGCAGAGGTGGAAGAAGACAACAGTGGCATCCCTGGGGCAAGGGTAAAAAGGAGAAAAAGATGAGCTTTGCTCTGAAAGGTTGCAAACCACTATTTTCTGCAGCAGGTCGGCTGGGAAGCCTCTGAACCCATTATTTGCAGGCACATTTAATGACAGGGCTCTACAGGCAGCTGTTATTACAGCTTGCCCACTGGTTACAGGGCAGCTTCCCCTCTGGTGCATTGAGCCTTTTGGGCATTTTACTCAGCCTGAGGACAGCTGTCCGTACAAGGGTTCAATACAGAAAACCACATGTGAAGATGAGCAGACAAAGCATGTGGGGCGAGGTGAGAAGCAGCCCATGTAGGAGGGTGACCACAGCAGGAAGAGAGAGCGCGAACAGTATGCCAGGAGTTCTCGGAATAAAAACCCACCACAGTGGAGCTGAAACCTCTACCGACTGCAGCTGGTACCACTGCTGAGCATCCCTTGGGTGGGGGTGGAGAGGGAACAAAGCAAGGTGACAAGCCACAACATCAAGAGATCACTTCTCATTTCATGGGGAAACAGGCTTCGTTTTGGGTAGCACTGACAGCTACGAATGATGGCTCTTGCTGTACATCATCTCCCAGTGACACGGGATCCCAAAGACCTTGCCATCATCATTTTCTTTGAGTCCAGTTTTCCAAAAGAAGGCCAGAGGACAGGCACAGGGAACTCTTGTATGCCCCAATTTTTCAGAGCTATAAGGACAGTCACTGCTTGAGGCACAAGGAGCAAAGTCAAATGCAGTTTCTAAGGCCTCTTGCAGAATCTCAACACAAGAGCAAGGACATGTTGCTGCTGCTCACCGTCTTTTGCCAGCTCTGTGCCCAGAGCACTGTTTTGGGACCTTGAGATCAGACTGGTCCCCAGCCACAGGCCCCCGCTGTCAGCAGCATCCCCAGAACCGCCCCTGGCTCTTACCTCTATAGTGCTCCATCCTGGTGTGATGGGTGATGCCCTGCGACCGAAAGCTGAGGCTCAGGATGTAACGGGGGTCAGAACTGTCTCGGACCAGAAAGGACCCATCTGGCTTCCCCTTCAGCTTCATCTCTGCATCCTCCCAGTTCATTGGTCCCCAGTACCATCCACACTAGGAAAAGAGACAGCCAGAACATCAGCAGATGCTAGTGAGAAAGATTTTATCAGCAACCAAACGCAATACGATTTGCTCTTGTTAATTCCCTATAAATGCCAAAATGGAAGTGCCTGGTTGTACCCACTCTGGAGTACGGATGGTTAGGACTCATTGCTCCAGGATGAGAGCACACCATCACATCCCTTACCACCCAGAAGTGGCATAAGAACAGATGAGACTATACCACCTCTTCCATGCACAACAAAATGCTTTTCTAGACTCAAAGACCTCAGTGGGAGAAAGGCAGGAGGTTTTTTCAGTCCTATCCTAATCTTATACTCCCAGCTCTGTGAAAGGGATGATCAGTCCCCAAAACCAGAGCCTAGACCCACAGCCTTTTCCTTCTGTCTGCCACCCCCACCCCCTACATTACTGTTACCTTCTCCAGCTCTCGCAAGCTGGCTGCAAAGCTGCTGGAGTCTGGGCGGTAGAGCGGACACTGCAGGTGCGGGGCGGGCTGGCCAGGCATCGCCTCCATCGGCCTCAGCGGGACAATCCGTGGGAAGGCGTCTGCAGAGGGAGAGACGGCCCGGGCCATGGTCACCCGCAGGGAGTTCACCCCAAGGACGAGTCGCCCCGTCCCCCTCGCACGGCTCTAGAGGTCAGGGCAGGAGGGGTAGAGCTGCAGCGTGGAAAAGGAAGCTGGGCTGACCGATGGAAGGACAACGTCCTTGTGAAGGACACAGCGGGAGTCACTACCTGGCTCTTCCAAGGTGACTAGCTCAGTGCCTTCACCTGCTATTTCCTTATGCTAGCTCAGAGGGAAGGCAAGGGAAGTGCCAGGCAGCACAGACTGGAAGGAACACGCATCCTGAAAAAGGGGCAGTTAAAGCCCTCTGGGTCCTGAAGGAAACCAAAAGCAAAAGGATAAATGCACAGGAAACATCCTCGTGCGCCATTCAGCCGGACTGCATACCAGGCTCACTGTCAAAGCTGGGGCTTCTGCACTGAACCCTGCTCCCACAGCTCTTTCCAACATTGCTGACGCTCAGTAACACGTTATCTGACGCAGCGCAAATCGGGGTGGGCTGTGCTTCTGCTGAGCCCAAGAGGAACCAGAGAAAACGGGAGATGCTGAACCGAGGATAAAGCTGGTGCAATCACGAGCTTCAGCAAAACTACTGTGGGCAAGATGAGCCACATCACACAGAAACCAGAGCCTTGACACAACAGTGCCTGTGCACTCAGCAGTGCAGGACTGCATGTCCCTGAACGGGCAATGCAGGCAGCACCGTTGCTGTTAAAGCCCAGATTGCAGCCTGAAAGTTTACCAAGAAAACCCCCAAAGTCCAGATCCCTGAAGGGAAAGCCAGAGCCTTGCTACTAAAGCTAAGCTGACCTGGGGCATGGGGCGGAGGAGGCGGAGGCAGAGGGAAAGACTGCAGGGAGGAGCCCATTGGACCCACTAGGACAGATGTAGGCAGCGTCCCACTGATATCATCTAGGAGAGAACAGAGGCAAGAAAGATTCAGAAAACAGGAAAGCGAGCGAGCTCTGCGCCGACAAGCACCTGACAACATGGCCTGAGCAAACCAGTACTTGGCGCTGCCTGGAGAAGCAAAGATGGAGCTTCCCATGGGCAGCTCGCCACCCTCCTCTCGCTTCTGAGTGCGGGTGGCTGCTGCCGCTTCACACCAGCTCAAGAGCCTCACACACGCATGCTCACACACACTCATAGAGTGAAGGAGTCCATTTTCCAGCCCAGCTAGCTCCTCACATGCAGCTTGCAGCACGAGACAAGCATTTACAGGAGACTTCACAGACCCAGCACACAGGACGTGCAGTTTAAGGTGCTGCTTGCTAAGGCTGACTTTACCCATCCTAAGATGCTCTTGCTCAGAGGAACCTCCTCCAGAGGAGGATGGGGAGCAGCTAAGCCAGGCCCCTGGTGCAGCAGCCTCTCAGGGAGCCTCCACTTCCACCGACTAGAGCACACAGAGAGGAACCAGCCTCACTGGGCAATGGGTAGGAAGGGGGGAAATTCTCCAAAAGCAGCAGAAATACTACAAAACCAGCACGTTACCTCCCACCTCACATTGCTCCACCACAGCCCTCCCCTCCTGGTTGATCTAAGAGAAAGACTGAAGCTTTCAATGGACAGGAAAAAATCCTCTGCCAGGGAAGCGTGAGCAGGCTTGTTACAGGGTCAGATGAGCAGGCAGCAAGCCCGCCTGCCGGGGACCCTCAAGATGCTCCTCCACCATTCCTGCAAGGGCAGACGGACAGCTCCTACTCTCCCGTGGGGATGCATGGCAAAGGATGCTCTCCAGGACGGTACCTAGCAGGCTGAGGCTTCTTCGTGGTGGAGGTGGTGGAGTCGGAGGGTGAGGGGAGGTCAGTCCTCGCTGAGAGATGTCCACGTCCACCAGTGACACTGTTTCACCTGGAGGTTGGTGGAGCAAGACTGTTAGTATTGCACTTTTTCCAGGGCATGCAGAGGCTGAGCATGGGGAGGCAGAGGGAGAGGGGAAGGGTCAGTAACCTCTGCAGGGTTTGGAAGATGATCTCATTAGCTGTTTTCAAATCGAGTTTCCATGCTGCACTGCTTTGGAGACACTGATCAACTCCGCTACCACAGCCCAAAGGTCAGGCAGAAGGGAATGACACCCGTATGTGTGCCTGAACCCCATCTGAGTCCAGCACCAGGAGGACATGATGAGGAAGGCACTGCGTGACCTTTTCAGCAGGGAGTTCACGTATCAAGCAGAGGTCATCAATGGTGCACAGCGCTGGTACTTTGCATAACGCTTGGGAAATGGTTTCACAGGTCTGTGTGGCACCTGCTGGCACAGGACTCTGAGATAACGCTCCTGCTAATGCCAGTCTGAGTTTGCCTACAAATACCTTAGATAATCAAACAGAAATACCTTTTAGCCCAAAGGCCATGAGTGTACCAGCTCTTAAAATTAGTAAGAGGGAGCTGGACAGGCTTTTACATTAAATAACTGGAATTCACTGAAGCCTGAAGGCTTTGGATCCAGGATACTGCTTGGGGAAAATAATGACACAAACTAAGATGTCTAACTTAAAACCAGAAAAGCTTAAAATTAGTCTGAAGTCATGGGAGAGAAATGAAGCCATTAAATCAAGGTCAAAGGATCAGGTTCAGTACTGGACTGATACAGAGTCAAAAGGAAAACACCTAAATCCCAAAGAGAGACCCCTAAGTGATGCTACCACAGCCAAGGCATTTTTTCCCCCAAAAAATCAGTCTAACCAGGCTCTGATGAACTACCAACACTGAAACCAAATCATCCCAAACACAAGGACTATGAAATCTGGCTGCCTTAGATTTCAATTCCTGTGGGCAGAGGAACTCCTCTTCTGCTCCAGATACCATACACAGCAGCATCACCCACCTCTCGGTAAGTACCTGACAACATATTTACCACACATTACACAGGACAATATTGACTCAGCTTCCTTCTGCTTTTAAAAGTCCTGTCTATTAATAAGTGATGTGAAGAGGAGTATTTAGGGTTGGTTATTATCCGAGGTACCTTCTCCCTGGGGGACTTATGGGTGTGAGTGCACATGCATGCGCACAGCCACCCTTTCATTTCCACACCCTAAAAATAAAGTGGCTGGGCTGCATTCATCGTATACAAACAAAAAGACAAGACAACCAGACTAAGAGGGGTTGCAGTAACTCAGCTTTCAAATCCTTCTCAACATGGCAGGAGCTGCAACAGCAAGCTGTGGTGGACTTATGGAGCCAGCACTTCCGAGAGGTGCCCGAGGAGAGGTTAGGAAAGGCGAAGACAGCCTTCCCAAAGACCTTCACTCACCCCACACACTAACCTGAAAGCAAATCACCAAGAAACTCATGCAAGTTGGACCAGGCAGTTGATTTCTGGACCACTTTGGTGGTCCCAGTCTCAGAAAATCCCCTAAACAGCAGCCATTAAAGAAACCGAGACTTCAGCAGTGTAAGACTGGAGAAGTCAACAACAAACCAAAGCAATTAAAATCCAGATATTTACTTTGGGGACACTACTGTGGTCTTTGCAAAGGAAAAACTCCTATGAAGGCATTGCCGCTATTCCACCAACTGGCAAAAATTGACATAAGTAATTTTAAAAATAGTTAATAGGATACACTAACAATTAATCAAATCAACCTCCCAAATTTAAAGCAAAAACTTGTCACCTCCAGGTTCTCCTCTGTAGTTTCTTTTGAGGAAAAGCAGCTCTGCACGCACATCCACGTACCCCTATTACTGGCACACAGAATTACGGTTTTTATACTCACAACTTCCCCTAGCAACAGCTGACAAAGCAGTAGAAGCAGCTTTTGCTTTCACCAGCCTTGATTTGCTAAATAAACACACATGACACTTAAAGGAAGCCAGTCACATCACACAAGGAGCATGTCCTCTGCATGCCGCCCTGCTATCAGGACATCAGCTGAAGGCATGTGGGAATGGAGACAGAACAAGCATCACTACAGCTGAATTACCCCCAAGTGACTCCACTTCTGCAAGAGCTGAATGAGCTACAAGAAACCACAGCAGCAGATCAGCAGCTTCCAGTTACTAGTTTCAGGCAAGTCAAACAAATGCTCTGCCTTGAAGGTCACTTCTCTGAAATTTAAACCAATTCTCAGTGTGACTTCACCACTGCTCTCCAAAGAGGGCTTCGCCCTACCCAGGAACACAAACCACACACCAGCTCCTGCACCAAGCTCTCCAGCTGCTCTCCACTATCAAACACGTACAACCAGCAGCAAGAGGAGGCTTTCAGCTCTACCCACCGGCTTTTCCTAAGGCAACTATCACTACACAATCACATTTTGATTCCTTTGCTCTGCAATAAGACCCTCAACATGAATTTATTTTGAATCTGACCTTCATAACAAGCCACATAAAACCCCACAGAGCTGATAAATACTCACTTGTGACCTGAGATTCCTACTCACTCAAGTCTTGAGACTGTATTCTTCCAAGAAAGCCCCAAGCCCTGTGGCTAGGACTGTTTTGACTATGAGCCCACACCACAGGAGGCACATGACCATGACTAGGAGCTTTTCAGTACTACAGCTTTCAGCCACCAGCAGAGCAGGACTTCACCCTCACACCATTTATAAACCATCCAACTTCCAACCCCTAGCAGAAAAGGGAAGGTCAGAAACCAGCAGGATGTGGGGAAAGGGGGGAAACATGCAGAAGAAGAAGGTAGTGTTCCACAAAAGAGGTTTCAATTTCCATAGCTGTCATGCAGCAGAGCCGCTGATGTTGCTGTACAGTCCAGGCAGGAAGCGGGGCTTGGTCTTAGCCCCTCTCAAACCACGGGAGGGGAACACCAAACTGCACTTGCTCTTCAGGGGATTTTTCCAAACCACTTGGATGCAAACAGCCCTGCGTGGAGGAAGGACCTTCGCCTCCAAGAGCTCAACTCAAACTTGGGTTTCAACAGGAGGAATTGCAAAATGCTGACGTGCAACAGCCATGTTTTTTACAGCTCCTGTTGTTCAGGGTTTGAGGCCAAGCAGGACAGAGGAACTCTTCACAGAGATCCTGGTTTGCACGTGCAGGCAACATTCAGCATCTATCGTTAAGCACACACTGCTCTTTTCATGGCAAAGTTAAACACCATACTGTAAGTCTTTCAGATCCTTACCTGTGAAGAGGGGGCTGAACACAACCGGGGAAAAGGCACTTTGAGTTCTTGTCAGTCTGTGTTTCCTATTGGAAGTAAGAAAAACATCATTAGTAGAGATGGGGAGACCTGGTGCATCCCCACAGAAGAAAACATGGTCTGATATTCTCAAACTAGGAGAGCCTTCACCATTCTTCACAGAAGCTCGAGACAGCTCAATGCTGTGTCCTAGAGCACTCGTAGAGCAGTGCTTCGGCTTAAGTAGGGCAGTCAACCAGTAAAGCTAGGCCTCCGTCCTGCTACGAAACAAATCTCTAACTAGGTAATTAATAAAGTCTTTGGAAGGAAAAACCCCAAGCAAGTATGGTAACTGGAGCCAAGAAGCTGTTTCACAACAGACGTCACGCTATTTCTCTGGATCAGGCATTGCCAAATGCCTTCGACAAACAGGTTGGGTCCCTGTGCAATTAGGGGTTGTGCCTAGAGCGAGTGCATCAAATGCCCTCGCACTGTGTTTGGAGGACACCATCTCCCCAGAGGGTTTCAAAATGCAGGTGAAGGGTAGGAGAGCTAAACCTGGAGCCATCGAGATAGATGGAAACAGCTAAAAATGCACCTCTGATGAGGACCCAGGAATACCAGCAATTTCTGTGAAGCTTGCTTTCTAAACCAGCAGTTTTATAACAATGCTGTAGCCAGCCCTGTGCTCTCCCCACACAAAACCACTCCTCCCAGTACCTTCCCTACTGCAATGCTAAAGGGCTTTACCCACATCTAGGCAGAGAAAATGCTGGTAAACTGAGGCACAGAGTATGGCCCAGGACTTGAATCTGTGGTTGAGGTAAGTAGAGAAATGCATCCCTGGTGCCAGAAACTCACTCCCACCTGAGAGGAGAGCACAAAAACAAAGCTGAGCACAAGCACAGCTCTCATGTGCCACAGTCTGACAAAGGTCTTTCCAGCATTCACAGTACGTCACGCAATGCCCATTCCAGCACTGGGCAGTCCATATCAGTCTGCAGGTCTGTACTGGGTCAGACAAGGTTACCCCAAATTAAATAGCGCAACTTCACTCTGCTGGCCAGAGAAACTGGTCCCGTTGCATTCAGGCAAGTGACTGCACCACCAAGATCTAGAGGAACTCAAAGGCCAGCTCTACTCACCACCCAGAACACCCCACTCCCACTGCAAGCCAGCTGTTACAAGGCTGACACTGTTCCTCTTGGATGTCTTCCTCACTCTCCAACCTCCTCCCAGGAAGTGGTGGACCCTGAACCTTAAGCCTGTCTTGTGCTTCAGACCCCGGCTCTGCTCGCAGCCTCCTGCGAAACCTGGACAACGCTTCAGAGAAAACCAGCTCTGAGCAAAGACTGCCGCCCTTCAGGAAGGATTGCACCCAGCAGATGCAACTCAACCACCCCACAGGGAGAAGAAACCTGAGCTCCGGTCTCATATTGTCATGCACTGAAGAGCCCTGGGAACGCAGAGCAGATGGGTGCCCTCAGCTTCTCACAGGGCAGACCGAGCGCTTCTCTTGTTTGTGTCCAGACACACCACTGGGTCACACAGCTGTGAATAAATGTTTAATACTATAAGTTTGCAAATAAACATACTAAGAACACTCAGCATCCTGATATATAAAACCCCATTAAAATGTTTGGCAGTGTTTCATTTTAAGCCTCTCGCACCTATTTGAGGTTGGATTTTTTCCCCAAAGGAGAACAATTTGCCAATTATCAGCCACACATGCACACACAAAATTACACTTCTGGACTAATATCAACTAACCTTATAATATAGTAACAGCTCTGTTCCCACCCACTAAGCCAGACGGAAAGGAGCATTGCTGGCATTTTGCGGTTACCAAAACAGCTACAGTTTATGCCAACATTTTACAGCCATCGATTTCTGAGATTTCTCATTTCTAGCAAGCTCACATCAGCAGCAGGGTGAGAGCAAGAAACGATTCACATGGACTGAATCTTCTACTTCCCAGACTCCACCAAAACAACGTACTTCCATACTTCTTCCTCCTGCCCTCAAGTTCTGCAGCATCCAAACAACACTGAAACCCACAAAGAAGTAATTATGTGTGACCAGTACGTGAACACTGCTGAATCAGATCGGTGCAGCCCTGCAGAGCTGGAGAAAGCCAAAGGTGGACACTGCTGTTCAGGAATGTCATGGACAGATTCTGCATGGATTCATGCACACAAAACTGAGAAACCCCTTGAGCTCCAGCAAATAAGGACTTGTAGGGTCAGTTACCCCCTCAGTTCTGCAATAGCTGTGGCTACTGCCTTAGCAGTTGGTGCTTCCCATGGTGCTGCCTTCATTCATCCCAAGGCACTGTCCCGTTAACACTAATGCGAGTCTTACCCAGCCACCCAGGCTGGCTACATGTTAGTTTATGCATGTAATACTACGGAGACACCTTAAAAACCCAAGGTCACCAATACAGCTAACTTACAAGACTTGGGTACCAACCTGGCAAGCGATCTGCAGCAGATGCCGGCTGCAGCTCAGATACGCCTGCGCCCGTCCATCTGCAGAACCAGTGCCTAACCCTGTCCCCTTTCCCTCCGATTACCGCTGCAGTACAAATTGCTTCCAGAAAATAGCAGTTTCACTGATACAACCTTTAAATATCAACATCCAGGCCCTGGGTGAGAAGCCGTGCATTGGTATCTCCACATTTAGTTTCTTAGCCTCTTGCAGCCCAGCAAAGCCCAACTATTGATTTTTAGATAATGGGGCTGGTTTCCTTCCTAACTGCTGCTGCAGGCAGGAGGCAAAGCTGCATGGTGCTGCCTCCAGGACTGACAGCACGATGGGAAGCTTGGGCAGCAACTCCAAATACCAGGAATTCTGCTTCTTGTGGATGTTTAAAAGAAGAGCCAGACTAGGTAACACCCACTGCAGACCAAGGGAGCACCCTTCACCACCAGCCCGCAGAAAGACTTGCAAGTCAGGAACAAGAGCTTCATAGCAAGATGAGCCATGAATTAACCTAAAAGTTGCTCTCAGCCCACCTCATCAGCCACAAGCAACTGCAGCAGCGACTCAAGGTGAATGCCAGATCCATCCTATATTAACGGGGGCCACACGTTGGGAGGCAACAACCTCCAGCTCTTAGCAGAGCCAAGGAAAGGTCGTCTGTCCGGTGTGTCCCCCTGCCAAGTCAACCAACGAAGATGGGTGCAAAGTAGCAGACAGCATTCACTAGCGCAGCATTAAGTCTAGCAAAGACCACGGCAGAAAATCGAGTCACTGCACTACTCATCTCCAAACCAAGGGACCAGAGCAACTGGGAGGAAAGGATCTGAAAAGCAGCATCTGCTGAGGCCAAACATTCCCTTCCCAGCAAGCCCAGCTTAGCTAAACTGTGTCTAACCTGCTCATGAGAGTATGGGCATCCCAGCATCTCAAATCACTCGTCCTCGCTGACGAGAGTGGGGCCAGATCTCCGGGGCCAGCAGGAACCGTCCCATCAACATGCCGCCTCCCAGCGGGAGAGATGCCAGCACCAAGCACACCCGCCCCGCATGCCACCAGCACAGGAACTGTGCTCCACAGGAGCAAAAAGCATCATTCAAATAATCCAGCCCTTGTCAGCAGGAGGGGACTCCTGGAACTGGAAGCAGCAAAGTCGTCCCTGAACCACAAGAGTTGCTGCATCAGGCACCTTGAAGTAACCTTTGTTAAAATATCACCTAATTAGTGTGGCGGAGTTGCACGAGAAGTGACCATTAAACTCCCTGACCAGAGGGAAGACCCGGGCAGCAATACAGTGCTCCTCTGCTCCCAACCTGCTAAGACATGACTGCCAACTCTCCATCGCCTAATCCCGGCACTGGGAGGTCCTGAGGACTCCTTGCTCTTGTCAAGCGCAAAGACCGAATAAACCACAAGCCCATTAGCAAAACATTATGTCATTACAGGCAACTCGGCTTGCTACCGTTTGAGGCCCATTTAGTCATTTGTGGGGAATGAAGCCGTTGTATAAAACGGCTTCACCACCCTGTATGCAAAAGCAAGGCTCCTCACGGGCACACGAGCTCTAGGGAGGACTCAAACACCCTGACCCGCTACAGGGCTGGCAGCTGACACAGGAGCTGAGGCTGCCCCATCTCAGAAGCCATCCTCTGCTCCAAAGGGAAGGTAATTTTGGCCTCTGGTACAGCCTGGCTGCCTTTTGGGCTGCCAAAGTGCCCAGTGACCACAAGCCAGTGCTGTGGGTCACACCTGACCCAAGGTCAGCATCTTCAGAGCAAGCCTGGAGAAAGTTTCCTACTCACCCATCAACAGGTCTTCAGCTGCACCGAGGAGGCAACACACCCCAAAAGCCTTACACGAGGCTAATTAACCCCACAGGGAAAGGACTGTGCTGTAACACTCAGAGTCCATTCAATTATTTAATGCTGCTCCTGGGCTAGCTGCACAGACCTTGGGCAGGCTCTCCTTGCCTCCTCCATGAGGAATTTCAGTTCTGTTGCTGGAAATGCTACAGAAAGTGGTTTCTGGAGCACAGGAGGCCCACCCTGACTGGAGCCTGGGCAGCGGGTACAGATCAGCCCTTTACCCTCCCCAGCTCATATCTTCTGCTGAAACATGAGGCACAAGCAGGACAAGCAGCTGAGGAGTGCCGGAGCCAACAGAACAGGGAGCGAGGTGCGGGGTTCTCACACCAATAGGTCCCAGAATTTGTCCCTCCAGCCTAAAGCAAGACCCAGTCAACCCCGGCTGCCAACAGCTTCCTCCAGCCGCGTCCTGCCGTGGAGCACCAGGAGAGCACAGAGAAAGCAGAGCCCCTGCGGCAGCACCCACCACCACCGAGGCCAGAGGCTGACCGCGATGCTCAAAAGCCTCAGGAAATCATTCTGCAAGACACAGAAGGGCAAGAGGAAATGCCAGCCCCTTGGGTCTCAGCACAGTGTCACCAGAGGCTGCTCCCCGGGGCACACCACTTCCTTGCTCGGCCAGCGCCTGCAGCATTCTGGGGCTCCAGCAGCTCCTCCAAGCTACCCACCACCTCACCAGTCCTGCTCCCAGATGTTTCTCCATCATCTCCTTTCGGGATGCAGGGCCCAGAGCAGCACGTTGCTCCTCTGCCTGCCTCTCCGGGCTCACCAACCCCGTGTGAAAGACGAGGCCTTGGCAGCTGCTCAGAAAAGGTCTGAGCCCACCTCTGAGCCGATGGACAGCCACGGTGCCCACCTGCGGGATGGCACCCGCACCTCGTGGCTCAGCCTCCACCTCCAGCAAGGTGTCACGGCACCGGCACCCCTTCTCCCCCTGCACTGTGGGGCCGCACTGTTGCACACCCGGCTTTCACGCCGCACTTGGCGCCAACCCCAAGGTCTCCCGGCTGCCACCACCGCAGGCGGCTGTCCCCCGCAAACCCTGTCCTGCCACACCAACCCGCGCCCACTCCCAG